CTCTGAGAAGTGGGGCACTGTGGGCAGGACGCTGTAGGTTCTTCTTGTGGATGCGACCTTCAGTTCTCACTCAGCACCTTACCTTGACTCCTGCTAGGTGTCAACCCACCGATCTGTTGCCCTGAGACTAGAGACCTTCATACCCTGACACTGCTGATGCACAACTGGGGGTATGTTTACCTCTTCTGTCCAAGCCAGTCTTGGGGTCCTAGAGTCGCTGCCAACCCGCGGGGGGTGGGGCTAGAGGACTTTAACTGTCAGGTCCTCTGTCTTTAAGCGGGTAGGAACCCTCAGACCTCATTCAGGGACCTCGCTGATTTCTGGCAGGACCTGAATTTGACTCTAATCTGAATTCAGGTTTCCCCCACCCATCAGGACTCTCAATTTCCCAAGGGGAAGGTCACAGAATGCCTTAGCCTGACAGCTATGCCTGGCCCTCTCTACCTGACTTCTGACTTCTGTTTTGTTGTTGCTGATACTGTGTTTTCTTTATTCTTCCTTTAGTTCCAGAGTTGATTTGGGAAACAAGTAATAGCAGCCCAAGATTGGATCTCACCTTGGCAGCTACTGGTAAAGCCCTAAATCTGTAAAGAAATTTAAGAGAGATTGACATCTTTATAATATATATTCTGTTCTCCATTAATAAGCATAGCATGTTGCTTTCCATAAATCTACCTTTTACTATAAAGATGCTGTACATTTCTCTTCATTTATGAATGTTCTGTATGTTGTTCGTGTTGTGAATGGCATTTTTTCCATTGCATGTTCTAATTAGTTATGTTTATTTGTGTCATTGGACTCCTAATTTCGCTATAGTGATTTTTTATACACCATTTTCTGAAGTTCTTATGATTTGGAATTTTTTTTTTATTAATTTGAGCATCATATGACTACCCTGATTCTTTCAATCTTTATTTATTTATTTATTTTTCTTACCTCTAATTTATTTCCCTATGTTTGTGTCTGTGAGTACTGGCTATGTGTTCCAGCTCAGGTCTGAACAATGCAGGGGGTCTGGAACATCTGTGTCTTCTTCCTGACCTTATTTTGAATGCTTCCAACATTTCTTATTTACATGGTGATATTGTTTTTGCTGTTGTTAAGTGCTGTGGATTAGGTAGGGAATGGAAATTCCTTCCTGATGTGTATTATAGGTTATTGACATGAGCAAGTGTGGAATTTTCATCAAAGGCTTTCTTCACTTTTACATCTGACCAAATGCATTCTCTGTTCTACCAAAACCATTGTTGCTATCAGGCGCCATCCAATTGGTTCTGACTCATAGCAACCCTGAGTAAAACACAAAAAAATGAAATGCTGCCCAGTCCTGAGACATCCTCACTGTCGTTGCTTTTTGAACTGACGGTTGTAGCCACTGTGTCAATCCATGTCACTGAGGGCCTTCCTCTCTTTTGCATATCTTCTATTTACCAATCATGATGTTCTTCTCCAGGAGCTAGTCCCTCCTGATAACATTTCCAAAGTAATGAGACACCTTTTCCCCATCCTGGTTTCTAAGAGCATTCTGACTGTACTTCTTCAAAGACAAATTTGCTCATACTTCAGACAGTCCATAATATATTTCTAGTGATTTACAATTGATTGTATTTTCTTTTCAATTATCATCTGTGTGTTCCTTGGACACAGCATATTTCTTCATTTAATTCCCTGCTATGTGCTGGACTGCAAAGTCAGTTTGATATGCAAGGTCAGCGGTTCAAGCTCACTATCCACTCCTCAGAAACCCTATACAGGGTCAGAAACCCTATATGGGTCAGAACCTACTCGACAGCAGTTAACAAAAACAACAATGGAAACGTGAACCTTAAATACCTGACACTCAGCATCAACAACCCTCCATAACTATAGGTACAAGCTTGTTCTCACTGTTGTTGTTGTTGTTGTTGTTAGGTGTCATCGAGTCAGTTCTGTCTCATAGGGACTCAATGCACAGCAGAAGGAAACACTGCCGGTCCTGTGCCAGCCTCACAACTGTTGTCATGTTTGAGTCTTCTGTTGCAGCCACTGTGTCTGTTTATCTCATTGGGGTCTTCCTCTATTTTGGTGACTCTCTGCTTTGCCAAGTCTCACCATCTTCCCTTAGAAGGAGCATTCTGGTTGCATTTCTTACAAGACCATTTGTTCTTTTCTCACTGCCTGGTACTTTCAATTTCAATGTTCAAACTAAGGTTTATTTTCATCAAAGGCTTTCATCATAGCAATATACAAATTTCTAAGGTTTACTAATTTGTTTCTTGGTTAAACACTTGGAAGGACCTCTGGTAGTCTTAGTGGGCTGCTAATTGCAAGGTCAGCAGTTTAAGCTCACCAGTCGCACCACAGGACAATGATGAGGTTTTCTGCTCCCATAAAGATTTACAGCATCAGAAGGCCTATATAGGATTACTATTAGTCGCAACAGATGCCTTAGTACAGAGCAGAGGCCGAAGCAAGAACACTCCAACCATAATGCTTTGCCCTTCCATTGGTGCTGTTAGCTGACTTTGATTTGACCCCACGGTTCATGGTGACCCCATATACAATAAAAGCTGCCTGGTCCCAGGTAATGCTGATGATTGTTTGCAATTTGGACCTTTGTGATTCATAGGATTTTCATCAGCTGATTTTTAGAAATAGATCACCAAGCATTTTCTCCCAGTCTGTCTTACTCAGAAGCATCACTGAAATAAGTCAACATCATAGCAATATACAAATTTCCAATGACAGATGGGTGGGTATTGGCTGTGCGTGAGGTACATTTGTCCGGTTATTACAGGTCTTTTGAAAACATGAAAACAGAATTCAACCAAGGACTGGCCACAGACTGGTGCACTTCCATTGTTGTTGTTAAGTGCCATGATGTCGGTTCTGACTCATAACGACCCTGTTTGGGTTTACCAAGGAACGTCTTGTGAGTTTGAACCACTGGTCTTGCGGTTATCATTCCAGTGCTTATCCTACAGTACCACACCAGGAATACATTAGGATATACATAATGTCTGCTGTGTCCTTTGTGGTAATTAATGTTGGTAGTCACAGGAGATCATGATCTTTATCCATTAATCCATTAGGGGTTGCAGAATTATTATTCTCTAATGGTATGATTCCTTTTAGCTTATTAGCTGAAATAATTCAATAATTAGAACCTTGTTCACCATTTGTTATCCTCATGCCAGTGTTGGATTATCCAGTAAGCAAGGTAAGCATGGGGATACTTGTACTTGCTTAATCATTTGTAGGAAACAATTTCAATTTTTTTTATCACATCAAAGACCGTTTCTAGATATGGCTGGCATCTGTCTTTCTCCCAGCACCACGGCATCTTCCTACAGAACTGAAATCTCTTTTCAA